GAACATTCATCCAGCAACTGATGAAAGCAGAGGCAGATACCCACAGACAAACACTGAACTGAACTAGAATCCAGTGTCAGAAAGAGAGAACTGATGGGCAAAGGAGTTAGGAGTGGGCTAGTTTAACCCACAGAAACAGTTGACCTGAACAAGGGGGAGCTCTTGGACTCCAGATTGATGGCTGTGTGGAAAGCATGTGACTGACCCAGACCCCCTGAATGTGGGTGTCAGTGAGGAGGCCTAGGTAATCTATGGGGCCTTGGGTAGTATTTATTCCTGGTGTACAAATAGACTTTGAGTGCCCATCCCACAATGAGGGATGTTCTCTCAGCCTGGACTTTTGGGGGAGGGCCTAGGCTCTGCCCTGGATGAAATGACAGTTACTGGAGATCCACCCTGGAGGGCCTCACCCTCCTTGGGGATCGGAGTGGAGATTGGGTGGGGGACTGGGGGACCTGGTGGGGAGGGAGAGAGAGGAGGGGAGGGAGAGGGAGCTAGGATTGACATGTGAAACAAGATTGTTTCTAACCTAAATTAAAGAAAATAGTATTTGTCACATTTAATCCTTGTGGAATAAAAGCAAATATGTTCATTAAAAAAAATCTAGCTACACAATGAAGCCAGAACCTTGAGCAGGGATTGTGTGCTTTCTGGGAAAAGAACTACGCACTGTCCCCTGAATCCTTACCCACCACTCACAGGGTCATCAGATGGATGTTGTTTCTAATGAAAGGTGAGGCTTCTAGGAGGTGGGAAAAACAGTTGATGGGTTGATGAGGAGATGGAAGACAAGAGAATGAAAGGCAGGCCATGAGGGCAATTTGCTCTCAAGCATTAATCTGAAGTTCAAAAACTAAGATTCCCATCATAGTGCCCCCAGTGAGGATGGAGTAATTACACATCTCCCTGCCTGGAATGCAGATCTAGTCTGTGTGACATTCATCACCAGGGAGATGGTGCAGGGGGTGACTGAGTGAGAACCCCTGCAGGCTTCTATCCAAACACTCTGGCTCATTCCAATCTCACTGGAGAGATGATAGCACTGTGTGAGTACAAGCCTGGAGAGCAAGGCTCTGAGACTGTGGCTTCACACCTCAGCCTCTGTGGTCCTGGCACTCCCCCAAGCCCTCCGAGGGTGGCTCAGGATCCGGCTGTCTTCCCCCCTCCAAGGGCTCTCACAAAACTGCTAACCAAGCAGGCCTGGTGTGTGAGCGTGAGAGCTGCTCATCCTTCTGAAGTCATGGTACAGATAAATACAGGCTCTTTGTACATCCTGGATTTAAAGGATTCCACAGAGTGGTGCTTACAAGTCATTACACCAGCCTGGAAACTCCACACTCTGCCCCTCAGATGGCCTTTTGATCCAAGCGACAATACAGGGACCCATGGTAGGTCACATGTCTTCCAAAACTCCAGTTTACAACCATCTCAGCTTGAGTTTGAGAAACCTAACTCATCCCGGGCCAAGACTCCTCTGGCCTGAAGGAGGGCTAAGTATGGCAGGGTTGGATGTGTGACTTGATGAGGCAGAAATGGCATGGGTGATTACGTATGTGTTCGCTACGTGACCTACTTTGTGGGTGCCCTGAAGTCAGAATCTGTATCTGCGGGTGCTCAGCTCTGAGGAAGAGAGCTGTCCAGATAAGAACTCTGAGTCTGGAGTTGGGAAAAGGCTATCAGTTCCCAGTGTCCTGCTGTCAGCTGCCCTAGCAGAGCCTCGTTGGCAAACAAGAGCATCAATAAGCACTGAGTGGGGTCATTATGAAGATGGATAAGAACCTGCCTGGCCATGGGAGCACAGGAAGGGGTCATTGTCTCCTGTGACTAAGGAGACTGAAATGGAGGACGATGGGCTTAGAGGAGGGCAGAAGGCAGGGACTGCGGATGGTGCTGAGAGATGTAGACGGTGGCTTGTGTGTCTCTGTGAAGCGTCAGCCATCCCTGAAGTGGATCCCTGCATCCTGAAGTCGGGATGGGGCTGCTGGCATGGACATGAGTCCTCAGTGCCATTGAGTGGGCCCTGGAATCAGATGATGAAGCATTCAGTGTTGGAAAGACATTCAGTGACAGTGTCACTGAGGAAGGGACAAGGAGGAGAACAAAGGGCCAGGTGATGGCACTATTTAAGATGGGAGACTACATGACTGGTGGAAGTTAGAGTTTTTAATTTCTGCGAAGAGACACCATGGCCACAGCTACTCTTATAAGTGGAAACTTTTAATTGAGGTGTAGTCCATTTTCATCATGGCAGGGAGCATAGTGGCATGCAGGCAGACATGGTACTGAGAGTCCTACATCTTGCAGGCAACAGGAAGTCTACTGCCACACGGGGCAGTATTCTGGGCATAGGAAACCTCAAAGCTCAGCCCACAGTGTCACACTTCCTCTAACATGGTCACACCCACTCCCACAAAGCCACATCCCCTCATAGTGCCACTGCCTGAGAGATTATGGAGGCTGATTACATTCAAACCACCACAGCAGGGGCTAGTGGACTCTGAAGCAAAAAGCTGGCCAGAGGGACTGCAGGGAGAGGGATAGCTGATAGGGTGGGGGATGGGATCGAGATTGCAGGGATTTGCTTTTCAAATGTGAGGGGCATATGTCTCATCTGAATACACGGAAAAGAATCTGAGAAGCGTCTGTCTGTGTGGAGAAAAGCTAGCACAAAGTGTGTATCTTATATCCAGTAAGCCAGCCCATCATCTCATGTGCTGGGCTCTATAGAGGTCTCCTTTTCAGAAAGTGGAGCAGACCCTTCTTGGGGTCCCTGGGGAAGAGTTGATGGAAGAACATACCAAAAAGAAGACCCGCTCACACATGGAATGGACAGGATCCCACGTCTGACCTCTGAGGTCTCTTGTAGCGTCTGATCAAGATGTGGGCTACAGGCAGCTGGCTTAGCTACACCTTGCTTAGTGACTCATAAACACCAGGCTCAGTGACCTAGCCAAAATGCCAGTTCTCTACAGCTGGGACCTCTGAGACACAAAGTCTCAGGTATTAAGTTAATAAGCTCCAGAGTCTCTTGTAGTGCTGGCAGACTGACCAAAAAGCAGGAAGTGGCCTGTGAAGAAGCACCCCCAGGTGGGTGATGTCATTAGTGTCTGAGTTTTCCAGAGATTGCCTTCCCAAGGGTGTCTCCTAATCGATGTCCTTGAGTCTCTGGTAGTGCTCAATTCACAGCCGCTCTCATTTGATGCTGACAGCAGTTCTGTGGAGGACTTTGATGGTCTTGGTTTAACTCACAACGAGATCGAGGTCGAGATCAAGCCTTACCAAGCTGAAGCCCACTTTCCCCAGTCTGCATCTAATAGGTTACTACAGACTTAGTAGACAAAGCCAAGTTCTTCTGTGTCTTCTCTCTGTTTTATTTGGGGGGGGGGTAGGGGTAGCCTGGCTGGGAGGGGCAAGCAGAGCTGCAGGTATTGAAATGGTGGAGTAGACTTGGTGTAAAGGGAGTCCTGCCTGTGACACAGGGACAGAAGGGAGCAAGAAAGGGCAGAGAGGAGAAGGTGAGAGCAGAGAAAGGGAGGGCGAATCCCAGCCTGGGTGCCTGCTCTGAGAGCTGGTGTGGTGGAGATACGGCAGGAGACAGAAGGAAAGCGGAAGAGAGAGGCCATCTGAGGTCAACTGGGGAGGCTGAAACGTGGGACCCAGACTTCGGAAGGTGTGATGCCGCATGATGGAAAGACCCTGGAGCACCCACACCCCAGTTCTCTGTCTCTGGACTAGGGCTGCTTCACAGGGGCAGAGTATGGGTATTCAAGAGTGTGCCTTCAAGTGTGGGTATTTTGTCTCTCTTGGGAGCCTGCCCCAGACCTTCAGTGCAGAAGCATGGGCCAGACAGGAAGCCCCACAAATTAGAAATTGCCTTTTCTCCCCTTTCTACCACTGATGTGCCCAGTAGGGTGTGGGATGGGAGAGGGACCTTGGGTAGACTCAGTAAGGGGTAGGGTACATTGTGTATAAAGAATCTTACATCAGCCATACAACCACCTTAGATGCCTTTCAGTATCACCACACACGGGCAGTTTCAAACAGTGGCAGTAATAAAGTATTTCCCTGTCCTTTCTGCTACTACTACCAACTCCCTGATTCCCTTGGGCTAAAGTTAGGACAAAAATCTGGCCCGGAGCCTACTCTGAGTAGCTCCAACAGAAAAAAAAATGCACTAACTGCAGCCTTCTCTAACTCCATCCCATCCACTCAGCAGCAAATAGGAAGAGATAGATGTATGTGTGAAACTCCACCCTGGGGAGCATCCTCAGTAACTCCGATTATTACTCAGACCCTGTCTTCCTGACCTAGACTCAATTGGCTCATATTTACCCAGTGGGAGAATGTCAGGTTTGGTATGGGCCAGGTGCCTTCTGCTGCATCTTTGAGATGGTGTTTTCTACCTCATCTGAATCTGCTCCCAACAGATGTCTGGTCCCTAGCTCAGGATATTATTCTGTGGTCTCAAATGAATCCCTAAGTCCTCCCTCTCTCCCCCTCCTCCATTTATTTGATTGGGAGTGTGCATTGTATGTGTGCCACAGCGTTCCTGTGGAGGTCAAAAGACAGCTCGTGGGAATCCATTCTTTCACTCCGTCGTGTTGGTTCTGTAGACTTAACTCGGGTCTTCAGGCTTGGTAGCCAGTGCCTTTGCTGGTTGAGCTGCCAGTCTTCACTTTCATCTGTGTTCCAAACATTTGCGATCATACAGAGCAACTATGACCAAATTTCCACACTGAAGGCTTTTTCTATATCATATCCCTAACAAGCCTTCATTTATCTCCCAAAACATCGCACTGGGGTCCCCACATCTCCGTGTTGTTCAGTGAGTTGTTCTAGGTCCACTCTTCATGGTGTTGAGACTGATATTTAGATGTGCTCCCAAACAATGGAACACACAGCCTAATTGTAGGAGTTGGTCTTAGATGCCTCAGACCCAGTTTTTTAAATCAAGTATAGAAAGATTGGCAAGTAATGGGAGGAATGTGAATGTCTTGCAGAAATCTCCTTCCGAGTCTGGATGTGTGGAGGCAGCCTGGAGATCATCCCCTGCAGCCGGGTGGGGCACGTTTTCAGGAAAAAGCACCCGTATGTGTTCCCTGATGGAAACGCCAACACATACATAAAGTAAGTGCATGCTGAGGCCCATTCTGCAAGGCAATGGAGGACAAGGGTTTGCAACCGATTCTGAGCTCTGCTAGGCGGTCTGAGTGTCCTGGATGATGAATGAGCTGCATGCCTGCAATTTGGACTTAGCCTGAACAATTGGCATTAGAGCCACGCCTTCCTTAGCCAAGATTTGAGAAGCCCCACCAAGCCCACCCACACCCACCTCATTCCCTAGAACCTCAGGAATTAAAGTGCCTGGTTAGATGCATCCTGCAGGGCTTTGCCTCTGGGCATTTGGGAAAGGGATGGGAAACAGCTGGGCCACTCAGGAAATGATCCCGGGAAGAGGCAAGAAATGGAAATCACTGGAGAGTACAGCATTTTCCTGCTCAAGGACCTCCTGGTAGACTAGAAGAATCCAGAGGGGCATTTCTGATAATCCAGCTCTATGGAGTCTCCTCTCAATCAACACCCCTAGAACCTAGACACAGATCAATGACTTCTTGCCTGTCTTTCTCTCTCCCTGTCCTTCATCTATCTCCTTCTAGATTGTTTTCCTCGTTAGTTTTCTCTTGTCAAAATATTCATGCATGTCTATTTTTCTTAGGATTTAAAAAAATTACATGTATATGCAAGGAGGGCGAAGGTGCCCTTGTGAATGCTGCCTTTAGTGGCCAGAAGAGAGCTGAAGGCACAGGCAGTTGGTATGCCACCTAATGTGGATACTAAGGACCAATCACGTTTGAGTCCTTTGCGGGAGCAGTGCGCTCTTAAATGCCACGTTCCTGCTCTAGCCTCTGACTGTCTTAGAATATTTTTCCCTATCTTCCGTTGCTTACTTTGATCTTCTTGTCTCCTGACACCCAGTTGCTTCACTCATCCACCTAATTAATCTCCTTTCCTTTTTTCTCCCCCTACTGTTGGGTATTGGGGAGGGGGCTTCACATCCTTTGATTTTTGACTTACTTAGTTATGGTGTTCTTTCACGACTTATCACACACGTGAATAGGTGTGTGTGTCATATCCTGACACAGCTGGCTCAGGAGACGTGGGTTTGAACAGTGGTGGCATTCTGCATCTTGCAAAGCAGGTTGGGCAAGGAAAGGAGACGGGAAGGCAGCAGGGTAGGGACCATCAGGGAAACAAGGACTGAGCCACCTTTGTCGCTATAAAAGTAGCCAGGGATATCTGGCATATAACAAATCAGGCATGGCTGTGCAGGAGCCAGAGCCTTCAGCCTGATGTGGGGCTGGCTGGGAAGCAGGGTCCTGGGGCCTCAGATGTCTATCCTACCTGAGATTGGCCTTTGGCCAGTAAGCATCCTTGCAGGCCAGTGGTGGGCCATTCTGGTTAGAGACAGGAGGCACAGTGTTCGTAAAGCAGCTTCTAGCCTGCAGGTAGTGAAGCCACTTGCAGGGGCTGGCAAGGTGGCCTTAGCTCCTTCCAGTGCCCGCACCCCAATTGCCTGTAATTACCCCTCTCCTTTCAGATCCCAGCTCAGAAGGCCTTGCCATGCTCCTCTGTCAAATGTCTGTGCTCTACAGTAGATCTAAGAACCTGGAGGAGCAAGCTGCTTTTAGTTAGACCCACCTTCCTTCACTTTCTCCTGTGTGCTTCTGAAGCCCAGACTACCAGCCCTTATTATTTTCTGATCTCTCTCCTCTTGATTTCAGGGATCTTCCTAGACCCTCCCCCCCCCACTACTGAATGATGACAATCATCCCCTCTTCCTCTGTCTCCCCTTCTTCTATGGTTACCTTTGGGGGTGGACTCAAGCAGATATCTGATGAAAAGCCTAATGTACTGGCAAAGTAATGAAAGAGGTGTCCTGATTGCTAATTACTTACATGGGACCGTTGCTTGCACCATGTGTGCCTTAGCAATGTGACCTTACTCTTGGGGTGCTGAGAACTCAACACGTCCCCTGTGGGAAAGTGGAGCTCTTAGAGCAAGAGCTCACTAACCAAGTAGACCCAGAAGTCAACTGGTCCTCACAAACCCCTCTTTTGTACTCAAGAGTGACAGGCAGCAAATGGACACACCTACTTTTCCTGGCACTTTTCTGCTTCTTTGAGAGTAAGCAAAGTTCAGCTTCTGATGTGATTTTTTTTTCTGATCTGTACCTTTTGGGAAAAGATTGTAGGTAGCACCAAAGTCTTGTGTCTTGGGGGTGCCTTTGAAGATGGGGACACTTGCTTGTGCTCTGTATTCTAGAAACATGGACATGAGCACCTCTTTCCTGGTGGCTGCTACCAACTTTGCCCTCATGTGTGTATTTCACCTGGAAATGTGCACAGATAATTCCCAGATGAGCCCCCTTTTGAGATACCTTATCTCCCTAGGAACACCAAGCGGACAGCTGAAGTATGGATGGATGAATACAAACAGTACTACTATGCAGCCCGGCCTTTCGCCCTGGAGAGACCCTTTGGAAAGTAAGTGCGCACCGACTGAGGAGAACCAAGAACTGAGGACCTCATCTCATGGGCCCATTACTTTACCTGTCTCTGGAGCCACTAAGTGCCTCCAGGCTTCAGCCACTCTGATCTCAGATCTCTTTATGTTCTACCCTGTTCTGGGTATGCACGGCTTTTTGTCAGCTCTCCTGTGACTCCGTTCCTAGATGACTGCTCTAAGAGAGGGAACTGAGCATAGGTAGATGGATAGCTGTTTGCAGAAAGGTAGCATGAGTTACTGGTCCCTCTGGGTCGTTAATTCCTTCCTCGACTTCTTTGTTCCTTTCCAAGCTTAAGCTCCGCTCCTTCCTTAGAGGGGGAATGCATGCTCACATATCCTCTTCAGCAATAGTCAAGCTTCGTGGGCGCACACTAGGTACTGCTCCATGCAGAGTCTCTTTAATCTTCCCTAAGCTCTGAGAGTTGCAGTTACCTAGCCCTGCTCGATGGGTAAGGAGACTGGGATCTATGCAGAGGAGAGCACAGATTACAGCTGAAGGCTCACAACACAATGCTTCCCAAATTATATGACCTTGCACTTACCAGACCCAAGCTGGCTGGAGTAAGGAAAACATTTCAATTTCCCTTAGTTATCATTTGTGTTCCTTGGGGAGTGGGAGGAGCAAGCATTTTGTCCTACTAGTTCCACTCACTCATCATATAAGTCTAATGAGCAGATGGTCTTTTGAACCCTAACCTAAGGTTGAGTTCATGCCTGTACCAAAGGGTTGGATGGGAGTCAGGCAAAGTGATTGGCACCTCTGACATCACAGTCCAGGCCCGCCCTCCAGTTTGCTTACTCCGCCTCTCCAGAGGCATTGAATCTTGTCCACAGCAGAATTGTTATGTCCACTGATGAAGTCTCATTAGCCCATTTCTTCATTCACTTACCTCTCTAGGTGGGAACCCTTCCTCTCTCACTTAAAGACAGACCGCAGAAAGTTCGGTCCTACACACACACACACACTGCTTTTATGTGTCTCCCTCCCCTGCACACAGGCTTCTGGGCAGCCTTACAGAATTTCAGATGCTCCCACTGATGGTACTTCATGGCCATGTTGTCAGCAACGTCACATGACCTCCCCTGGCCCTGCTCTTTCCTAACCAGCTCAGACCCACCGCTTCTATTAACCTGCTTCACTCCCTCCCCACCCTATGAGCCTACCACCCCCTTTCTCTTGCACAGATGACATCTAGTTTATGGATGAAATAGACAATATTGATTTCCCAAGACAAATCGACCCATTAGCCTGGCCACAACTGTACCATCCTTCTCGCTCTCCTTTGTCTCTGTGGACAGGTGTGCTTCCTGTGTCAGTAAGCCAGCCCTCTTCATTCATGCCTGCATTCGTTCATAAACCAGCATTTTATCACATTCCCACCATCTGCATCCATCTCCCCCAGCCTGCTGGTGCAGGGCCCCTCAAACTTTAATGAGCACACAGATCTCCCAGGGAGCATGTTAAAATGTGGAATCTGATTCCTGAGGTCTGTGTTTCTAATAAGCTCCCACGTGACCCTGCACTGCTGCCGGAGAATCCTAATTTGGGGAACAAGTTTCCATGTTTCGGTTCCCAAACTAACCTGTCAGTGGAATTACCTGCAGATCCTCGAAGCCCCAGCTGCCTGAGCTCAGTCTCTAGAGGGCCGGTTTTCTTGGCTTTCAAATGAGTAGCGGCTCCAGCATTGCAGACAGGGGCACGTGCCCATATCCAGGCACTTCCTCCCTCCACCTCCTGGGTTCACCTCTTCCATGTTTGCGTCTACTGCTTGACTTAAAAGAGAGGGGGTGAAAGAAAATACACCATAAAAACCTACTTGGAAGGCAGCATTGCTCACCATCTCTATGCCTGTCCAGAACCGAGCATCGTGATGTAGTGGTCCACCTGTGCTGCCTCTCCCAGGCCTGCAGCTCTTCCCACCATGCTTAGCCCAACCCACCTCCCCACCCCCGCCGTGCCCCTGGCCCCTAGGCTTCCAGTCATTTCCATTGTTCCTGGATCCTACATCTCCCATCCTAACTCCATGCCCAGTTTCTTCTCCCCACCCTTGGTCATTCTCTGAGGCTCCGTCCCAAGTCTTCTTTTCACCAGATATCCTCCTGGTGATGCTGCCACGGCTACTCACCGCCCTGTTTCTAACTGCAGCCTTTCCTTACGCATACATATCAAATGGCCACTCCTCCCTGGATGCCTCCCAGACACCTCCAGTGTAACAGGTCCTAAGCTAAACTCGTTTTGTTCCTGAATCTGTCACTCATCCCGTGTTCCCCATCCAACCCCACAAGCAGTCTTTCCTGCACCATATGAGCCAAGTCACAAGTCTGGGTATCACACTAGCTCCCCTTCCTTGACTTATCTGAGTGATCACCACGTCCTGATGCTGCTGCTTCGTTCAAACCCCGAGAACCCAGGCTCTTTCTGAACACAGCACAGCAAGCATGCAAAAAACATGACATGTTTGTCCCCTGGGAGCTGTGAGGTCTGGTGAGGGAGTGTGCTATGTGCCTTAGGGATGTTTGAGGCTGGCAGTAAAGCTCAGTGGTAGAGCAGTTGGCCAGTGTGCATGAGGTTTGAGTCCCAGCACAAGAGAGGGGAAAACTGGAAGAAGAGGAAGAGAAATGGTTTGAGCAAAGTCTTGGGAAGAAAAAGGGGTGGGAGGAAGGGGGCTGGACAGGAGGCAGAGCTACTGCTATTGGCTGCCCACAGAGGACAAGGTTTGACTAGTCCTTAGGTAGAGTGAAGGAAAAGAGTAGAGGATGTCCATTCCCACCCAATTCACTAACAGGAGTATAATGGCACCTGGGATTATACAGTCACCATCTCCTCGTCCTCTGTCCCTGCTTCCCCTCCATCTGGCCCATTCCAAAAGCAGTGTTAAAATTTCCTTAAAGCAACTTCATGTCATACAGGGCCCACCAAGTCCACGCCCAGGGCCTCTGAGATAGCATGGACACCCTTCAGCAGTTCCTCACATGGATCTCCGGGGACTCACATCCCCATCCCCATGCTCTTCTGTTTTAAGGCCAGGTGGCCAGTGTCTCTCCTGTAGCTGAGCCCTTTGACTTGTTCGCAACACTGATCCCTGCTTTCCAGCCCATCCCACCTGTAGCGGGGCCCCTGCCTCGCCCATCCTTTGGCTTCTCTGGATGGCTATGCCTCCTTCCACACACCAGCATCAATAGCCGCTCTTCTCCTGAGTACCATGGACCCATCCAGCAAGAGTGCACCTCCCTGGTGTCCTTACGCCCACCCAGGCTTTGGGGGCACGTGGGCTATGGCACTTGAGTCGGTATCTTGTACTACTATTCTGAAGCTTTCACGTTCCACGCTGAATGCAATGCCTATCTCGGAGGGAAGTGCAGTGACTATCTGGTGGACAAATGTGTGATAAGACCCCAATACATTCCACAGAAGAGGACGGTCTGAAGCTGGGGCAGTCAGAGAGGGTAGTCCAACCACACAGGGACTTGAGAGGGGGTAAGATCCAGAGTCCCAGCAGTGAATTATTAACAATGCACTCAGAATTCTTGCAGCTTGATTTTTAATGAAGATGACAAATACCCCAATTCCATTTTCAAAGAAGAGCACAAGTCCTTGGTGTCATTACACATCATTGAGAGACCAAGCTGGGAGCTTTCATAGGTCTGTCCAGAGCTAGAGAAATCTCTGCTTGATTCATTGCTCAGCACCCCCCAGAGATGTGTGGTTGCAGAGCAGGTGGCTGGTGGTGGGGAGCCTCTGTTGTCGACTCCTGCCTCTGACAGTCATGGTTTGTCTCTGTGTCCACCCTCCAACCTCATCATTCCAGCATTGAGAACAGGCTGACCCTGAGGAAAAATCTACACTGCCAGACCTTCAAGTGGTACCTGGAGAATGTCTACCCAGAACTCAGGTACACCTTTCTACTAGAGCCATAGATAGCTACGATAAAAAGCCCTTGTCCAGCCTGGTCTGGGAAAGTCATGACCCAAAGCTGACTGGAGGAGAGTTTCTAAGTCTATGGGGGACTGAGCAGACCAATCAATCCTATTTATCCTAAAGCCAGAGGAGAATTATGTTGAACTTAGTAGCATGAGAGACTGGGCTTAACTGATAGTGTAATTTCTCAATTGCTGGGGGTGGTTGGTACCCTGTGCTATGCTATGAGCGTGGTATTGATGGCATAGACTCCATGCTAGAGGTTCATCTGCTGTGTGGCTACTGACGGTCTCTTGCTGCATCACACCAACAGCATCCTTCCATCCTCTGAACAGTGCCAACCTTTGTGACAACTCCAGGGGAGATGGCTCTGTCCTCTCAAAACACACCCCTAATCTGCCTAGCAGTTAGCAGCACTAATGTCAAAAGCAGTGTGTTCTCATTTGTCCTTGTGACTTTCCTACAGGGTCCCCCCAGACTCTTCCATCCAGAAGGGCAATATCCGGCAGAGGCAGAAGTGCCTAGAGTCTCAAAAACAGAAAAACCAAGAGACTCCACACCTCAGGCTAAGCCCCTGCACCAAGGTCAAAGGAGAAGAAGCAAAGTCTCAGGTAGAGTAACTGGCTGGGGTCATAGCTCTACACACCATGGAGAGTAGAGATGCCCAGATTAGCCTTGGCCCCTGCTTTGGCCCAACACCAGGGGTCCAGAATGGGACAGAAGGACACTTCTTGCTTGATCGCTGACTTTTTTCCACTTGGTTACCAAAATACATGGAATTCCTTTGAAAGACGACTTCCAAGTGGCATCTACCCTTAGGAAATGGTCCAGGTAATTAACAGGAACCCAAAGAGACTGGCAGCTGTCTTCTACCTATAAGCAGTAGACATGGGACTGGGTCAGGCATGGAAATTCACATGAGCTAAGTCATGTGGCGTGCAAAGAGGAAAGGAAGCCTCCTGCTAGACGTTGAGACAAGATGCCCACATGGCGAGTCTCCCAGCTGTCTGCCAGGTCATCATATCAGACTTGGCTAAACCACCACCATACACTGCTCTATCCCTGGGCATCACCCCCCCCCTTCTGCCGTGTCTGTGGATTGTTTGGGGCTCTTCCCCAGGAAGCTGTCCTTGTTCCTTGCTTGGTTTGTCAACAGAGGACAGCCCATCCAAGTGCTGTGTTCTGCCAGTATTCCCCCTTCTGAAGCTTGGCCTGCTGTTTTCAAGGTCACTGGCAAAGTCACCACCTGTCCAACCTCCACAGCACTTGGCCACACACAGCCTTTGCCTGACTCCCCTCTCCGCCTTGTGACTTCACAGGATCTCGGCCTTCTTCTCCTGCCCGACTTCTCGGCTAGCTCCTCTCCCCAGCTTTGCGGTGTTTACTGAGGTTCTCAGTCCACTCTTTTTTTTTTTTCCTCTACAAACTCTCGGAGCTATTACCCATATTTCCAGCCCTGACCATCTCCTGTTTATTGATTCACAAATTCTGTGCCTTCATGCATCATTTATTTACTCAGCAGATGTTGTTAACTCTGAAGTTGCAGAAGGGCAAGGCTAGACTGAAGGAGGAAATGTGTAAGCAGCCACTGTGATCTAATCTCTGTCCCTGGGCATTTGTCACTAAAACTATAGAAACAAAAGTGTGGCATCCAAGTTCTGAATGAGCGTAGCAAATGGACTGTGTTTTGAAGTAGAAACAGACAAGGCCAGAAGGGGAAGAGAGGGTGACCCAGGAAATACAGCATAGACTATGACCTGGTAGCAAGTACAAGGATAGACTTTAGGGAAACTGAGGTCACAAGGAGGAGTCAGGGCAAATAGATGTTGAGATTGGAGAGAAGCAGGAGCTGGATTACTGTCTATCTTCCTCAGGAAGTATGTTCCCTGAGGAAGCTGAACTTTGTCTCATTAATGAGAACTCTGTAAGGTCCCAGTAGAGGACTCTGGGAATAGAAGGTTCACAGTTAGGAACTCCCACATGGACTGTGGCTCAAACATTGGGTAGCAGAGTCAAACTCCTCTGTGATTTAACTATAGATGGCTGTGAGCACCCAGGCTACCTGGCAACGCACAGGTCTCTGCATTGGTGCCATGGTTCCAGTCCTCACTAGTGCCTTGGCCTCTCTTCCTCCTATAGTCCACTGTGTCTGCAGCCCACTGTGTTCTCCCCCAAAAAAAAACTCTTTTCATGTTCCATCCTTACTCCATTTCCCCAAGACCAACTCCGTTGACTTTGGGAGCAAGGTCATTCTTTTAAAATGTCCCTGTTGAGAACCTTTGCGTTAGATTATGGCCACAGCCTTTAGGCATTCCTCCTGCCCTGTCCCTCACCCCCACTCCATGTTTGGTCTCTAAACCATACCCCTCACTCAGCACAGCCTTCAGTGTCTCTTTGCTGTTCACAAAAATCTACACTCTCAAACCTGGCTTTGCCAGAAGCAGCCTGTGCTCCAAACAGGGCAGAGGAGGTGGTGTGGGAGTTAGGTAAGCCTAGAAAGGAAAGGAAATGGGGGTGTCGGTTCAACTTTAGGTGTGGCTGCCTGGATGACAGTGACACAGTTTGCTCAAGTGGTACTTTGTAAAGCTCTGTGAGTAGGTGAGGCATCCCTGTGAGTCTGAGTGTGGGTGTTGCTGATGGGAATTCCATCAGTCAGAATAGTGTCTGGCCCCTTCCCTGGGACACGATTTGCTTGGTCTATCCCCAGCTAAGCAGAACCTGTCTGTAATAAACCAACTTTGGTTGCATAAGGGGTGGGAGAGAAGGCCACCAACTCTCTGGGCCTCAGAGAGGATCCTTCAATACCCAGTCCTAGGAGAGGGAGCAGGTCCTGTTCACCTGGAGGAGAACGGCACATCCCAGCTGCCCTTTCAGCTGACCTTTCTGAGGAAGGAGAAAGGCACATGATGGCAGGCACTGGGGCCACGGGGGAAGGGCCTGGAGGTACACAGTGCTCTCTCCATGAGGCAGCGGTAGGCTGCTGCTCTGCTTTGCTTTGAGATAATGGCTGGTTTGTGCGACTTTCAGAAGTTAAATTACTGGAAAGTAGAAAGAGGTTCAGTTAACAAACTGGATGGTAGCATCTTGGGTACCATATTACCTTCTGGGGAGGCAAGGTGGACTCATTCAGAATTAGACACAGCCCTGTTCTCCAAGGGCACACAGCCCAGCAGCAGGGTTGGGCTTCATTTTCAGGTACTCAGAAGGAAATCTACGAAACAGTTTCTGCTAACATCATCTCCACGAGATGAACGCGTGTGTGCATCTGTTGTGTGTCTTTGTAGGACTGACTTGTTTATCTTTTCTCGTAATGGGATCCTCTCCCCCATTCCCCATGAATCTCCATTGTTGTCACCCTTCATCTCAACCCTGTCTTCAAGCATCAGGCACCTGTGGGGGCTCTTCCCCTTAGCATAGCTCTGTTCTCTCCTATCTTCATCTTCACGGCCTTCCTTGACTCGATCTGTCCAGAGGGTGATGGAACTCTTTCAGCATCTCTTCGGGCACCCACCTCTTCAGTCGCTGAGCATTCGTAAGCAAGGGAGTGACCAAGAACCAGATGAAGTAGGTATCACTCTTACCCCTGCTTCACAGCTGATGCTCCCAGAGATTAACTAGTGTCATATACTAGTGGTGACCACACACACACTCACACACACACACACACTCACACACACACCAACTCTATCCAGCAGTTCTCTTGTTACAGCAAAGTCATGGTTCCAGGACTTTATGGTGTCTTTAGTCATGGCAGAAGACACCTGTCTATGACACTCATCTTCAAGGCTGTGAACATTAAAAAAAACTCCATCTTGACAGGAGAAAGCTACCAAGAGGGTGTTTGTCATAACCAATCTCCAGTGACAAATCCAAAATCAAAAGCCACGCCTCTAAGAAAGCATGGAATCAGTGTCCTCCCTAACATTTGTGAGAACTTGGGCAAGAGTGTGACTGGGTTCTCTGTTCCACAAATGACACACCGTACTCCAGAGACTCTTCTGGCTTGCTGCTTTTGCCTGGCTCCAGTTTCCTCCCATTTCTGTCTGCCCTACATGATGAACTCTAAGCTTTCATATTCAAGTATAGTCACTTCCTTGAAAGCCTAGTTATGTATACCAGAGGAACAGCCTGCCCTGGAAGTACAAACCCAGGCACTGGGTCAGCACAAATCCTGAGATCAGGTTGGAGCCATTGGGTGGATGTTCTAGGGCCCGGAACTATGGAAAGTGGGACAAGCACATCCAAGTTCTGCCTCTCACTTGAAGGTAGGTAAAACCCAGGCACTGGGATGTCCTCGTGCCTGTAATGATACTCGTTTGATTTGTTTATGTTGGCAGCACTGGGTATCAGACCCCAGATCCGCATGCCTCTCCAACCACGCTGCATGGCCAGCATGAAGGCTATTTAATCCAGTAGCTCCAACAATTGTTCTTCCTTCACACCAGCCCAGCCATCCCACTCCCTGCCTCACCTTCCTTCTTGCTGGCTTATCCTTTGGAGCACAATGCTGAATTCAAATGTTTCAAAGATGCTGGCAAGCTGATGCCCTGGGGTAATGCAAGAGGCTTACATCATGCATTTGAAAACCTGTAAAGCCCCAGACATCTCTTTCCTCTCAACTTCACTGAATTCTCCAGAAAAATATCCGTGAATGGCAGAAGACAGATGTTCCACTCTGGTTTCTATTCCAGATTAAAGAGAAGGAAACGTAAGACAGTCTGCAGTGTATTCGCCCCCTGCCCAGCCAGTGGTTTAGGCTCCCGGTTTGTGGAGCAGAAGGTAGCAGCTGGGAAGCCCAAAGGCGTGTGTGATTGAAAGTGCTCTGTGTATCAGCGGGCACACGGACACTCCAGGGTGCAGATCTCAAGTCTGCAGTGCTACAAGCTGCCCTCTCTTCCTCAGAGTTCCTCATCACATATGGGAATGGTCCCTCAAAAGAGCCATGCCAGCCTGTGTCTGCAATAGTTTTCGAAGAAGAGTCTAAAGGGACGTGTCTTTCTTGCCTTGCTCTGAGTTACTGGTGTCACCATCAGAAACAGTAACCAAGTCTTTGCTAAACGGAGATAACTATTCTGAATACACACATGTTAGCAATATATTCTATACAGTAGCCCTCTTGCTAGTCTCTTTACATTGTACTTGAGGTTATGGAAGTAATTCATCAAGAGTTTACACAGTTATTAAGCTGGTGAGCAGGGATCCTCACCATGGTAGTTACCCCAGAGCCCAGCCCTGTGATACAACAAAACAAAGTGGATGTGGGGCCTTAATCCCACATAGTCGTTATCCCAGCAGTGTAGGAGAAGACAGGATGGAAACAAAGGGACGATCTTAAGCATGAGTCCACTGAAGAGCCCAGTCAAGAGAAATATATATCTGGGTCAACTTGCTGTCTCCGGGAGCCATCTCAAAGGTGGAACTGAGGTCTGTGCCTGCACATTCAAGGAAGAGAGTGAGCCCAGCATGGCCTGTCAGCCATTCATGCTGTTGTTAATACTCAATGCTGACCCCCATGACTGATCCCTTAGAGACCTTATTATGAATCAGAAGTTTTGTTGGACCTGATTCATTTGTTCCAGGCGTCTATCTGAAAGGAGCCCTTCAAGGGTGTGCTTGTGGCCTGATAGGTTTTCCTGTGTGGTCTATAGAGGACATCTGGTTTCATCTCATCTGAGGAGAGCTCAGCGTGAGCCCAGCAGCTGTTCCTGACATTGCAGAGTAGCCATCAACCACGTTGACCCTTACTTCCGTGAAACTGTTCCTAAGTAAATAGACCATGAACATGAAGGGGCTTGAACCTGCCAAGCCCTTAAATGACTCTCACTTCAACAAGACCAGCAATACTGTCTTGGGCCAGCTCTCTTTTCTCAGTTCTTTAATTGACGTAGAAACACAAAACTCACTATCATTTGTAGAGGACATTAGTTCCTGGTTACCTCACCTTCCTAGGAGGGCTGGTTTGTCACTCCTCACCCAACATTCCTTTGCACAAGGACACACCACTCTTGGAGCTAATACACACAGGCAGGGCCAGGATCTGGGCTAAGTGTTCAGCAGGCAGGATATTGTTGACACTTTGCATAGTCCCTCAGATGGGTCCTGTCCTGTTATCACCCCCACTTGACAGATTGGGCAATCTAGGCGCATGTACACTAAACGGGGTGTACATGAACAATACCAAAGAGTTTAGGTGTAAGCCCGCAGACTATCTTATGATGGTTTTAGCATGATTGTCCTTAAGTCTGGATCATTCTTTTTCATGGGGACTGTCCTGTGCCTTGTAGGGTATTTAGCAATGTCCCCGCCCTCCTTGCTAAATGCCCATAGAACACAGTCTTAATAATCCAGAAATGTCTCTGCACACTGCATTTCTTCAATGGTATAAAGAGCAAAGACTCCTCGCTCTAGGCTGATGTTTTCCTGTCTGTTAAAGGATGGACTCCTGGGCCATTCCAAGATCAGCACCTCTGCCTGGCATCACCCTCTCCCTTTCCCTCCCTTAGTTCTTGTTGCATCTTAAGAAAATCTTTCCTCCCTAACTTTCCATCCAACTCAAAACAGTAAGTCCCCAGCCAGACCAGGTGCCACTGTGGTCCCTTTGCATCCCAGCTTTCCCAGCTGCAGCCCCAGGACATTAGCCTGAGAGAGAAGTCTACTGTTCCTGTCTATAAGCACTCTGTTCCAGCAGTGGCAGGAAGAATGGCCTCTGAGTAGAGTGTCCCCACTCTAATAGACTAGCAAAGGAGTCCAGGGACCAGGAGCGAACCTCAGCCCCTCCCCATAGAAAGCCAAAGCGGGTCACATCTGCTCCTAGATTGGCCCTTGGGTTACCTTCGCCGGGGGTGGAGCGGGACATCCATCACGAACAGCGCTTCCATCAGGCTCTGAATGGAGTGATCGGTAGAGGGTCCTGCAACCCTCAGTGGAGAGCAGATCTGGCTGAGCACTCCTGTCGCCTTTTCCTTTGTTGTTCATTCGTTTGTTTGTTTTCTGGAACTCACAGCCTTGCTTGCTAGGTAAACACGTTACCACTTAGCTAAATGCCCAGCCCTCCCCTCAGTGACGATCTTCTTAGGGTACATTTCTGGCTCAGGATTCATTTAATAAACCCATTCATGCTCTGGGAAGTGTGAGGGACACAGAATGGGACATGGGCACTTTGTGGGCCTCAGTTCCTCCTGCCCACCTGATCCTGACTTCTGCTTGCCATCTCTCTTCTTCCTTCTTGAATGTGGGGCCAGAGCTCAGCCCCAATCCTCCTCTGGGAGGTGAAATATCAGGAAAGCCCCGGAATGTGTGCTCATGTAAGGAGTGTGTGTGTGTGTGTGTGTGTGTGTGTGTGTGTGTGTTTGTGTGTAAGAGCAGCAAGTGTCACTCTTAACCACAGAGCCATATCTCTAGCCTCCTTGTATAAGGACTTTTGTGCTGGCTTCCTATTCACAGGTTCCTTTTACAGACCCTTAGCATAGCTTTCTTAGACCCTGGCCCAGGCGTGTCCCCTCTCAAGAGGCATTTCTGAATGTGGAGTCTCAGATGTCAAGAGAACCTATCCCTGCCACTTCTAAGCCCTTAGGGTATTAACAGGAAAGACAGACAAGGTGTGTTTTTGGAAACTGTGGTATGTTTTCAGGTTTTAGAAACTGTGGTGTGCTTAATCCCTTAATACTTTTAACACAAACAATACAATGCTGTGTATTGTGGTGATTGTATGATAATGACAGGATTTATTTTCGAAATGTTAATTTGTGCTTCCCAGTGGGCTACAAAGCAGTAACAGAAGAGACGAACTCATTTTTCCATCGCTGATTGAAGCCTTACTTTCAGGGAGGGTAAAAATCTAATAGATTTCAGGCCAGTGGTCCTATGGGCCCACAAACAACCCCCTGCAGCTCTGCCCTTGGACTTTTATCCTCCCCACAAGGAGAAATATCCTCAGCCCCAATTGCAGATTGCCATTTGAGATCACACTCCTGATACCTAGGGCACCAGAGTGTCATCTGCCCAGTGCCCCAGCCCAGGCTCAAGACCCATGTGGACTTCATGCCTGGCTTTGGTCTCTCAGTCACTAATACACATATCTAAACCCATTTAGGGACAAGTGTTACCTCTTTGTACAACCTGAGAGAAACCCTCTTTGTCATTTTGGCAGCTGCTGTACCAGAGCTTGCTGTCTCCCAACTGGGGAAATAGAGATTGCTTGTTAAGCAATCTGCCACTGGTGTCTTGCAGTGACCTCACAGAACACCCCTGCTCCCTGTTCCATCAGAACTCCAGCTTGCTGGTCTGGTTTCTCTACTTCACCCCTGCAGAGAGTGAAGGGCTGAATCCTTTGCCATGCTGGCACGTTGGACTGCACGCCCTCTTAAGTAATGTTACTTTGCATAGCTCTCTCCTTTCCCAATGTCTCCATCGCCTCCCTCGAGTGCCTCCCTTCTCTTTACCCTTCTGTCTGCCTCTTATCAAACCTGTCATGTTCTCAAGGCAATGGCTTCGAATCTTTACAAAGAAGAGGGGACATTCTAAAGACATCTGGGGCAGCCTATCAGCTGTTTGATGTGCTAAGTGTCAGCAACAGACTCCCATGGAGACGTTGTCTCTAAGCAGACACTAGAGATCATATGGTCCAGCTAGGGTGTTGCTCACCTGCAAGTCCATGGCTCGGGACCCAGCATGGGGGACAGGGACTTCATAACAGTATAGACGGTGACTTTGTTGATAATCATTACTTCCTGGGATCCATGGAACTGCTTATCCAGCTGTATGGGCCATCACACATAGGCATGGTGAGACCCCCCCAATAGATGGCCTCTGTCCCACTCCTGAGTAAATCTCCCTGGTCTCCTCAGGTGTGGGCCTTCACGTACACCCAGCAGATCATCCAGGAAGAGCTGTGCCTATCTGTTGTCACCCTGTTCCCCGGAGCCCCAGTGGTTCTTGTCCTGTGCAAGAATGGGGATGAAAGGCAGGTGAGTACTTGGCAGGCCCTGGGGCAGGGTAGGACTGGGAGTGGTCAACCTCCACAATGTGACTGGGGTGGGTGTAAGTCTTCTCTAGTCAGAAGAGAGGACAGGTTGAGAGAGGAAGGGTTAATAAGCAAGAAGTCTTCCAGTCAGTGCCAGGGATAGGAGTCCTAAAATTGTATCAGTAACAAAGGCCATGTTGGTCCCACTGATCAGTGAATACCTGAAAGTCTGTAGACTTAGCCGTTATTGCCAGGCCTGCTCACCTGGTATGTTCCTGTCACTGTTCTGTCACTTACCTGGACTCTTAGACAGGAGCCAGAGCCGTAGGTGTGAAGGCAGCCCAACCCCTTGCCCTCGGTGCTGTGGGCTTTGACAGTTGTGTCCTAGATGCACACTGTTCCTCCAGCAGCGTGTACTAGGAGTGTGCTCAGTTTCCTGCCCAGACCTGAGAGACTGTTCAAGAGCTCATTCCAAGTATGAGGGTGGCACGTGGTGGGTCACTGCATCTGTCTGAGATCTCCCCTTCTCTTCCAAAGGGGGCTCGTGTAACCCAGAGGAACTATGGGGAAGAGGCATTGTTCTGGTCTCTATGAAGCACAGTGTCTGGTCAGGGTTTCGTCCCTCCCTCCCTCTGTCCTTACCACATAGGAGGGAGTCAAGGGACACTGCCTGACACCGGCATGGGCTTTGGAGACACCCCTTCTGTTGTCTTCACAGCCCCATCTGCTCTTTCTCTAACTTATTCCTAAAGGAAGACACGGAACGTGGGTTGTGTTTTTTGTGTTGTCTTTTGTATTGTTGTCTAACTCAGTCCACGTTTTCTGTCCTGCTGATGAGTTTTTCTAGTGAACACTGATTTAACTTTTCACATTTTTAAACCCATTTTTAAAAGACTAGTACTGGAGAGATGGCTCAGTGGATAAGGTACTTTATCCAGGCCTGCCCATCTGAGTTTAATACCTAGAGATACATGCAAAAAGAGAAAGAGAAAAGCAACTCTGACAAGTTGTATACTGGCCTACACACACACACACACACACACACACACACACACACACACACAAATAAGCAAATAAATATAAATTTAAAATGTAATAAAAACAAAAACCCTACTGCATGCCAGAATTAATGGCACTTTTCTGCCTCCATGAGACCATGAAATCACATCTCTGACTGACCACATGTAGTGTCATACCTTCTGATGATGCCTGAGTGATTTATTTGTATTATCCACAGAACCCATGGCTTTAGCCAGAAAAGGTATGGGCTCATTTTCTCTCCCCTCTGTCTCCTCAGCAATGGATGAAGACAGGTGCTCGCATTGAGCACATAGCATCCCACCTCTGCCTGGACACAGACATGTTTGGTGACAGCACCGAGGATGGGAAAGAAGTCGTTGTCAACCCTTGCGAGTCATCACTCATGAGCCAGCACTGGGACATTGTGAGCTCATGAGGACCCTGGGTGGATCCAGCTGTGGATCAGGGATGGTGCTTCCCTGGACCAAAACAAACTGGAACCCAGGCTGTGGACAGCCCAGGTCTGCAACAGATGCCCTCGACTGGAGGTAGAGCAAAGGCCCCCAGGACAGGAGCAACTGTCTCAGGGAAGATGGAGGAAAAGGTGACAAACCAGCAGGACTCTGCAACACCCACATGTGTGCAATATTGTGAAGGTCCATCCTGACCAGGTTTTCTGACTGGGACCTGGAGATGGAGATCCGATGAGAAGTGTTTGTTGTACCCTTCCTTACAAAACAAGGCACCTTATAAAGGCCAGAAGGAAAGTTCCCCTTGTCAAAGTACCAGGACTACATGGAGAGATGAGGAATGGGGATGGTTTCCAGAACAAATAAAGTTAACACTGAAGTTGTCCTTCAATAACTCATGCTGCTTTTTCAGCTAGCTCAACACCTAAGAGGAACTCCCCCATTGAGTTAGGGTGGGGTATCTTTGTGGCAGAATGAATGAAGAAGCCAGAAAAATGGGAACATTGTGCCCTTATCCTAGGTTACCAACAACCAGCCATAGGATCTTAAAAAGACACTTTAGGGGGCAGGCAAGATGGCTCAGTGGGTAAAGGGGTTTGCCATCAAGCCTGATGACCTGAATTTGGTCTCTCAGGCCCCTCTTACAAATTGTCTTCTGACCTAAACACACATAGGCACGCAAGCCCACACTCATGGTACCACACACAAAACAAGTAAATAAATGTTATCATTTTTAAGACACTTCAGAGCTGGAAGATGGGCATATTTTATAAAGTACTTGCCTTGAAAACACGAGTTTCAACTTCAAAACTCTTATTGAAAAAAAAAAAGATGAGTGTGGTACACTCTTGTAATGTCGGAACTAGAGAGACAGAATTGGGTGAATCCCAGGGGTTTGTCAGCCAGCAAGCTATCCTAGTCTACTTGGAAAGTTCCAGGCCAGTGATAGACTCTGACTCAAACAAACAAATAAAAAACAAACAAACAAAAAAACAAAACATGATGAACAGTACTTGTGGAAAAGCATCCAAGATTGACTTTTAATGTCCACTTACATGTGTGCACACATGCACATGCTAACCTGCACTCTCAAACATGTAATACCCATTTATACACACACAAGGCAATTCACTTTTTTGGCCCACCACTTCCTATTATGTTACCATGATGGGGCCAGATGAGTGGTGGTGACTGTGGAAATCTCTGGGTGCCTATAGAGAGCCTGACTTGGTAGGTCTCACATGGAGGTCGATCTCCTTGGTTAATTCTGACACCTCCGCTTGTTTAAAGCTCTGTCATAGAGGATGTATCCATCAGCAGCCTTATAACCCATAGCCCTTAACATAGGAATTTCCTGCTGTAATAAAACCCATTTTCTGGTGTCTTCTGGGATTGGTTAGAGTAGCTGTCTATCTTAGTTAGGGTTTCTATTGTTGTGAAGAGACACCATGACCACGGCAGTTCTTTTAAGGGAAAACATTTAATTGGCTGATTTACACTTCAGAGGTTTAGTCCATTATCATCATGGCAGGACACAGCAGCATGCAGGCAGACGTGGTGTGGAAAAGGAGCCGAGGGTAGAGCAGGAGCTACATCTTGATCCTGCAGGCAACAGGAAGTGGTCTGAGACACTGGGCATGACTTGAGCACAGTAGACCTCAAATCCCACCCCCACAGTGACATGCTTCCTCCAATAAGACCACACCTTCTCCAACAAAGCCACACCTCCTAATAGTTCCATTCCCTATGAGCTAATGGGGGTCAATTACATTCCAACTACCACACTATCTATTCTTATTAACTAGGTCTTAAGAAACAAGCCATATTCCATTAAAGTTTCTAACAGGCACCCCCACATGCTGTTAGTAACTGCCTGTTAGCTATTGCTGTATAACAAATGACCCAAACTTGGCAGAGTAAGGCAACACATGTTTACTGTCTCATGGTTTTTGTGGGTCAGGAACCTAGGCCCAAATCTTTCCTTCTGGAGTCTTATTAAACTATGGTGGAGGTGATAGATAGAGCTGCAGTCAGTCTCATGGGCTCACATAGATCTATATCTTGATGGTGGGTTTTGGCCCTGACGCTATCAGTTCTCCAATATAGTTCTCCAGTATAATTCAGTTCTCTCTCCAATATAGCAGATTACTTTGCAGCAAACTGGGAGTGGGGTGGGGAGATAGGATACCAGCAAGATGGGAACTCTGTCCCTTTGCAACAAAATCACTCAAGCCTCCTACGCATCACTTGTTCCATGTTGTACTTGACAGAAGCAGTCAGCAGGTGCAGCCCCTACTCAAGGGGAGGCCAATCAGAAGAGTGAAGGACATGATCAGATCCATTCAAATCCACCTACCCCAGTGACTGTTGGAGCCTAAGCAAGGATCCATTCTCCTTCATTCAAGGGATCCCTTTGGCGATGGGTTGTTATCAAGCCCCTTACGTAGTCTGATACTGCAAACTACTATAGCCTTGGAAACTTGAGAGCTGAAGTGCCTGGACCAGGTATCTCTTCTGCAGGTTGTGTTTGTGAACACAACGATATCACTTGCTCTGGTTAGGACTAAGCCCTATTCTGGGCCAAAGAAGAGGGGGTAGAGAAATTGAGCTGCTCCATCTATAAAAGACATGCCATGGCTCCTTAAGCCGTGTGTGTACAGAGCTTAAAGCAGCTTTGCAGAATGGACAGACAGAAGGAATGGTTACTAGTGACCAACCAGACCCCTAAGTAGGTGAAGCAGTCACTGTACTAGGAGAGCCTGGGGTTGTCCTTTGTCTACTTGTCACCGCTGTATTTGTGACTGTCTTTGAGTTCTCTGGTGGCAACAAAAGTGTCTTTTGCTCTTCTTGACACAACAAGTACTTAGTAGACATGTTTATAAGTAGATAGTTGACAAACCATTCCTTGTCCATGATAAAGTGAATCTAAGTATATATGACTACTGCCATACAGTTACAGAACATGGGTGGGCTTGTATCTCTCTGGGAGCCAGAGGACTTGAGGAGAGGAGCCCTAGTGGCAATTACTTACTTATGTCCTAGTGCTGCTTACTTATCTTCTTTCCTCGTGACAGAAAAGCTAGTGCTTAGCTTCCTACTGGCATCCCTCTTACCAGTGAAACAACTTGGAAATGACAACGAAGAGTCAGGTTGAAGGGTATGGAGAGGAACTTGCTAATGGAATGCAGGCAGTTCTGGTGTGAGCTGCATGCAAGGTGCATTCCTTAAGGCTCCATTATTTGGAAATGGAGGCTAACCACTGATGATAAGGATAGAAATCACTCCAAATGTGTGAGGTAACTGAAGTGCTCTCCACTGTTCTCAGGCTGCTGTAGACCAAGAGAGAATTGAGATTTAAAAGTAAGCAGGGCAGCAATGATGAGTGTCCATAAACTCAAAATAAGACTGACATCTCGGAGATGGCCATGGTCTACACATACACAGCAGAGTGAGTATGGCCAACATTTGGTGGATATCACCACTGGGTTTGAATGGCAAACTCCAGTAGCCTGAAGTATCTCACTTAGTAGGCAATCTGGAGCTCTGAAGGAAAAGTTGTCAAATGATGTCATCCTCTGAGAACAGGGAAGATCTCTTGAGCATTTTGACGTCTCACAAGATTCAGACTCCAAGCAATGCTTGGAAAATCCCCTCCCTGGAGCGGCTTCACTACCCTGTCAGGTGAGGAGGCAGCAGGAGCCCCATCCCTCATGGTCACATCTGACCAATGGAAGAATACGGTCTTCTTTCATAATTTACTAATAGGCTATACATACTTAAAAACATATAGGCGTTTGCTATATGTGACTGGGTATGTATGCCTTTCATAACTACAAGCTTTGGATCTGTGTGTCCAGCCAACCACAGACTAAAGTCACGTAGGAAACATGCATCTGTAATGAGTTGTATGGTTTTTTCTTTTATTATTCCTTAAACTATATAGTCTAAAACCACTTTCATACCCTTATATTATAGTAGATCTCTTAACTAACAAAAAGCTGGCTTAAACTATAAAAGAGGATGTACATAGGTAGGGAAATGGCATAGCAGGTAAGCATGATTTGCTGTGCAAGCATGAGGACCTGAGTTCAAATCCCCAGAACCACAAAAAATAAAATAAAATAGAAAAATGATCATGTGCAACTGTAACCCTAGCCCTGTAGTCCTGTGGTAGAAACAGGAGTCTTTCTGGAGTTTTCCAGACATCAGCATAGTTCAGGGGTGTGATAGAGTTCAGGCAGGATGATGGGGCAGTACCCAGCGCCCTCCTCCAGCCTCTGCACATGGATAGATATAAAAAACCTTCACATACATGCACACATACATTATACACACAAAATATACACAAACACAGTACCGTCTTATATGGTTAACTTTAGCATCCACAGAGTAGGTATCTGTGGGAGAAAGGTATTGTTGAAGCCCACCTCCTACTAATGGACAACTACGTATTCTCGTGAACTTAGAAAAAAGGAGAAGCAGGGGTTTCAGACGCTCTGGTGTCTCATTTAGAGTTGGGGGCAGGATAGTATTGAATGAATGGAAAAGTAGGAGGTTTTAGGTAAATCTGGGCTCTGCATGGATGGTGGAGCCTGGGGCCGCATAGAATCTGAGACTTTCTTTCCCGACAGTTTGATTCCCTTTGTGCTTTATAACTCCCCCCATCCCCCTGAGCTCATCTTCAGCGAGAGTTTTTCCTCTGGGCATCTAGATGCTCTGGTTGTAGAGGCATGCCTCGGGGTAGGTTTAAGCTTGCCTCAGCTAGGATCCCATTGGATTGCTTTGATTTCAAGCCAATTTATGAATTGATTTTTCTGCTAATGGTTTTCACACTGTGAGAAGAGAATCTGGACCCCAGCTTGGAACAATCTTAGATTTTGATCATTTATAGATTGCTTTTTTCGAGGTTGCTTTGATCACATTTCCCTGGAGTTGCCCAGCCATGTGGATAGCCCATTTTTAGCCCCTGCTACCCATGAGGTCTCCTATCTGTTTCTGCCTGCACACAAAGCCCAGCCTTAGTGACACGTTTCTGCTTGGATTCCACTCCACACCTCACTCACCACACACACACATATATACTCTCTAAATTCCCATGCATTTTTGGAATTTGGATACACAACTGTGGTTTCAAATGGTCTTATCCAATATTTATTGTGTGTGTGGTAAGGGGCTTCCTGTGTTGGCTCAGACCAGAATTCCTTAGTGCTGTAATTAGCTGTCACCACTGTCTTCCCCACTGGCTGGGGAACTTTATCTTATTGTAGACACCCAATAAATTTCTATGAATGAGTGAGAGAATGCGCCTGTGATTCTTCAGCACCACTTCCTAATTACCTCCTGGCTAGTTATCAGACATTTGAGTTTTTAAAAGACAGCCAAGGCAGAAACAGAAGACAGAGAAGACAAATTTATAACAATAAAATCTTGTTATAATACACATAGATTTGGGGATCATGCATATTTAACTTCATAATGACAGAGTTTAATATTGAGCATGCTAACTGGAAAGAACTATCAGTAATGAAAATCTGTAATACTGCAGTGGAGCCTGGCCAGATAGAATTTGTTCTCAGAAACCCAGGGGATGGGGATGGAAGGCTGCTAGGCAAGAACCCCTTGTATTTCATCAGCAAGCATCCCAGGCGTGTCTACTGGCATCTAACAAGATGAGTCCTGGCCTCCAGAGAGAAGCTAACCCTGTGTTGCTGGTTCTTCTTAGGTGACCCACAAAGAAATGCCCTGCTTCTCCAGTGTCACCCACTGAGCATTCCTGCCCTAACCGCTCCATCCTTTCAGCACCTGGGACAGCGTCTGGCATGCAGGCCTTGTGGGCCAAAGGACTAAGGGAGTTCTAGCAGCTGTGCAAATGTCCCACGTGGCAGGTGGAAGCCCGTTGGCCCCTGCCACGCAGAGCCAATCATCTGAGCTCCCTCATGGGCTACAGTTTCTGGCAGCCCAACTCGGATTAGCCAACTCTGAAGCTCTGAGCGCTTTCCCATTTGCCATGGAGCCGACTAATTTAATGAAGCCGTCACAGTGCAAACCTCGGGGCTTATTGGAAAAGGACTCGAGCACGACATTATTTCACAGCAGTAGATTGCATCATTTTCATTTCACAGCTTTCCAATGGGAAATAATAAAACAAAATTACAAACATAATGAAGAAAGAAAGAAGGAAAGAAAAATCTGTGGGAGAGAGGAGTGCCCTCTATTCCATGATAGGGTTGCTTTGCTCATTCACTTGGGCCAGTAAATATCACCTGGTTTCACTCTGCAGGGAAGAACATCCCGGGATGCGTGCACCTGCTGCTGGAGATAAGAGGCTATAATAACTCACTGTCCAGGAACGCCAAGGAGCTGTGAGCACTCCTCTAGGTACCCCTTCGGAGAAATCCCAGCTTCTAAGAGCAAAGCTCACCTGGGCTGGTCAGGACACCCAGGCAAAGGGCTGCCACTGGTAGGGCAGGGTGAACTCATGGAGTATGGGTATGCTCAGCACCTCCCCCTCGAAGACAAAGCTGTTTTACTAGTGGTGCTTCCTATTCTAGATGGAAGGAAACAAGTAGGTCCCTTCCCACATCCCTCCTGCAGGATGCTTTCATTGTTACTGTGGGTGATCTGACAGCCAGAGGCTAAATGGCAGTCAACAGAGGGACAAAGCTCTTTCCAAAAGCTGTTCTCATTAATTGCACTGAGGTATACAGAGGCAGGGAGGCTGCAAAGCCCTGCCAGGTCTTTTATTCTCCTCTTTGGGCCTGCCCTTCAGCCAAGGAGATGTTCCTGGGCTGTCCCCAAGCTAGGAGACTAGACTTCCCCATTGCAGTCAGACCCCAGATTCCTCACCTGCCTCTTAACTGAAAATAAATTCATACTCCAAGACTGGGGTGTGGGGATGGGAGGTGTGGAACTATCTGGAATGACTTTCTTTTTACCCAGAAGCCTCCTTAAAGACGCCACGGACTCCCTCTTCCCCTCCTCATCTTGCAGGTAGTCTCTGGTTTCCGGCTCCCCCCATCTGAGCGGCATCCAAATGTCTCCCATCTTGGCTCATACTAATATCTCCAACACTAGGGTGTTGGTCAAGATGCATCTCTAAAGCACAGATGTCGAAGGCCAGCACCCCAGGATGATCTTTTTGTGGACTAAGACTACATGACTTACATTTCTCTGATCTCAGTTATCTTTTCTGTACAGGGGTCAATGTCATCACTGACTCCTAATTTCATTTTGAGATTAAATGCAGTGATTCATATGAAGTTCTCAGCACAGAGCTAGGCACATAGTAGGTCCTCTTCATTAGGTCATCACAACAGTTCACTGGAACAGAGGGCAGAGTCTGTATGTTTTGTAGGCTGATCTCTTTAATCTTCTTGGGATGGTATATCAAAAAAAATAGTTACAACCACAAACATTTATTTCTCATAGTGCTGGAAACTGAGGAATCCACAGTCAAGGTACCAGCAAATGTGGCGTCAGCTGAGGTACATTCTCTGGTTTATGGACAATAGCCATCTGTGGCCCTACTTGCTAAAGATCTCTATGGAGTTCCTGTTGTATGGGTACTAACTCCACTCATGAAGGCTCCACCCCATGACCCAGTCACATCCCAAAGAACCCATCCCAAACCAATATCCTCATGCTGGAAGTTGGGATTTCATCACCTGAGTTTGGAGCATACACAAGCATTCTACCCTCCATCCTCGGAGACCTCTTAAATATCAGGCTATTGGCCAGAGAATCCCCTGTAGGACTCCCCAAGGCAGAGGGTCAAGAGGGAGGTATTAACCCAGGAGGACAGAAAACAGAGAAGAGCAATGAGGTTCTGTGAGGAAAACACATCCCCACTCAGTTTTTGCTGCACAGGGGCCTCTTCCATTTCTCTGTCGGTGTGTCTTTATCCTTTTTGCCTCTCCCCTGCCTGTACACATGAATCATGACTCTGTCTCGTGTGTGCTGAATCCTGGGAGGAGGTGGTACAGGATATCAATGGGTATTACTGGAGAGAAGGCTGAAAATGGGCATAGAACCCATGCCATGAATTCAAGGTCAGCCTGCACTGCAGAATGAGACCATGTGCCATTTCCCATCCTTAAGAAACTTCTGATCTACCTTGTGAATCCAACTCCCATGCCTTAATTCTACCTCTCTGCTCTCTTCCTGCCTGGTACCCACACAATTGTCAGTTTATAGTGGTCCCCACCAGGTATGTTCAAACCATAGCCCAAGGGCTGCATGTGGCCCAGAATACTGGTTAATGTAGCCCAAGATAAAACTGCAAGCTTATTAAAAATGTTGTAAGATGGAGGACAGTGCTAATAACTAGGTTGTGTGGCTCTCAAAGTTGGGTGATGCTGGAGGCCTGCTTCAGGTTCAGGTCCAAAAGAGGGAGTGCAGAGTAGGCAGGAGTTGGGGGGGGGGATAGGAGGTGGGGATGGAGAGGTGGGAGTTAGGGGAAAGAGGTGAACACCATCAGGATGGCTGCCAGCAGGGTTTAATACTATAGTTGCACACGGGATTAAAAAGGAGACAAAGGGCATGTGAGCTGGGGTGTGACTTGAGATCCGGGATTGAGGAATCTAACATTGACCTTGACAGAAGTCAGCAGTCCTATTAATGAAAGGGCCACAAGTTCTTCTTGCTAGAGATAAGAAGAATGACTGCTTTATCGAGCCGGGCGTTGGTGGCACACGCCTTTAATCCCAGCACTTGGGAGGCAGAGGCAGGCGGATCTCTGTGAGTTCAAGGCCAGCCTGGTCTACAAGAGCTAGTTCCAGGACAGCCTCCAAAGCCACAGAGAAACCCTGTCTCGAAAAAACAAAAAACAAAAAACAAAAAAAGAAGAATGACTGCTTTATCAAGCAGGAACTTTCCTCAAGCCCCTAAGGAATGGAGGCCCTTAGCCAAAGCCCCGATCTTGGGAAAAGGACTTCTGGGGAGCAGACACTACATTAGTTTCTTAGTTTTACTATATGAGCCTGTTCCCCTTATAATGCTCCCAAAAGGGAAGGTCCTGATGTCTTTCTCTTTTCCCATTATACCCATATCATTCTAATTTCTCTGCATTTATTAACTGAACTCTTACCCTTAATAGCCTCAGGCTCTGAATCTGATCTGTAAGCATTTCATCCTTAGGATCAGGTATGTTCAGTAAATCTCTAAGTTTCCTGTTCTTGGTGTAATTAGGAGAGCACAGTGGAATTTCTGGTTCCATGGTGGTGGGGATTTTTCTTCCAAAGACTTATTTGGCTACCATTGTACACATTTTTTATCTTTTACCAAAGCCCACACAAAATTTCCCAAAGGGAAAGGCATTAATATTGAAAATCATTAAAAATGAAAGTTAAAAGGTGCTGGAGGAGTGTGGTCTACAATGTTGAAATGCTGGAACTTTGTCAAGCATCCATAGTCACCATGCAGTCCCCACCAGAGTGAACTTTGTAATGACAGAGCATCACAGTCTCAAAACTAGACCCTCCAACAAGTTAAAAGTTGCCATAATATGGTGTCCAGCTTGAGGAGCAGCTCTCAGTGTCCCAGGCTTCCATCAGCTTCCAGAAAGTGTCACCTGCATGGGGGTAGGTCTTAGCAGACAGAGCAGAAATCGCACCCACTAGTGCTCTACAGATTGTCCAGTCCTGAGCCAGGGAAGAACCAGAGTGTAATGCCAAGATTGCAGAGTCCCCCAAAGACCAACAAGGAGTCTGAAAACATATGCAAAAGCAAAGAGCCTTTATTCAAGCTTGAGCTTGGACGCCCCACGTGTGCCACACAGTAGCATGAGATTAGAGAGCCTTGAGTTCAGTTGGGGTGGGGTTTTATCGTAACAGAGGTTGGGGTGAGGGGATTTCTAAGGTTCAAGACCCCTCATTGGCTGACGTTTGTCTAGGCATGTCTTGGAGAAAGGGGATGGGTGTGTGCTGGGCTAAGGCACTTGGTGATCTTGTCTACATTGATGGGAACGGTAGGTATTTTTTTTGAAACGTTAGGTGTTTTCCCTTGGCTGCTGATTGGCCTGTGCCTGGGTGGCCTGGGTGGTCTCAGTTTGTGGTCTTTCCGGGAACCAGGTATCGCCTTAGGGTAAGCTGAAACTTAGGCCTACTCTTTGACTGACTTCTACTGAGCCTGTCATGGAAGCAGTGTAGCCAAGCTGGCCTGGGTCCCGCACAGAGCAGTTCATGCAGAACGCTGGTTGCAGAAGAGATTGAAAGAGCTCTAAGGCACAAAGCAAGAAAAGAAGGCACAAGAAGACCTCAAAGCCTATCTGTGATGTCACTAAGACAGAGAGTGGGGCTCCA